ACCTTTCTTCAGAGGCTAGGGAAGCTCACAATCATGGCTCCGAACATTAACACTTTTACTTCTATAGTATTCTTGGTAGTCGTCCTTACCTTGGTCAAAATTGGCGCCTTTCTAACCCAGCCTACTGTCGGTAAGTTAGAGTAATTGCACGCTTGCTTGTTTATAACGTTCGCTGTAAAGTAGCCCTTTCTCGTATAACAAATAGTTAACTATGGGGGGGGGGGGTAGATATCTTTAATTATTTTGTCAAAGATATAGCTTGTTCTCGTTTGTTCTTTATTTTTTTAAATTGCAGTATGTTCGTTTTTTGTCTGTTTTTCAATATTGTTGGTTTATGAAATGAACAACTATGGGAAAACGTATGTTAATGCGTTATTTTACTTCCAACAAAAATTACACATGCGCTTGATGGTGACTTATAGCGTTGCCTTTCAATGAAGATAAGATGCAGGAAATGTACTAAGGAAAAGATAGGTGTAGGGCTTTGTTCGTATTGGTGAGCGGGGGCGTAGCTATGGTTTGCGTTTAACGCAGTCATAATAGATTCTGACACTTTAGGGGTGATGTTACATGTATGTGTGAGGCAGCGCGGTGGAATTAGGCTCTCGTCAAAATAATCAAAGTGAAGAAACGAGCCTTTTTCTGCAGGTTTGTAAATTGTTATCAAATTTTTGTTTTTTGGCTCAACATCTTTCATACCCATTAAAGAACTCATTTCTGTGTGGATTTTTCAGAAAAACGTTGATTAAAGGCATAAAAATGTAAATTTTCGGTAACCACGGACTCTTAAGCTAAGGAAATAACTAATTTTTGGCGGCCATTCTCTCACTAATTTTACTTCTGAAAACAGGTGACCCCCACCTACTTCTTTTGCAAATACCTCGACTTGTATTCAAGATAAATGGATATTTTTTTCATCCAAATAAAGACAAGTGAACAAGCTTTAAGGTGATACCAATAACTCTACATGCCCAAAAATTGATGAGAGCCTGATTCCACCACGCTGCCTCACATTTTATTTTGATATTGCTCGTCTCCGTCGCTGTTGGGTTTTTTTGTCCCGGCTAATGATGTCTGACGATAAGTTTGCTGTTTGATCAGAGAAGGATCGAGAAGGATGTTTACCTTTCTGTGCATAATTTCGAGAATCTACTGGTGTCGAGTAGGACGTTCTATGTTTAGGACATATACTTTCTCTAGTCTTCTTGTAGCCACCAAGCTGCAAATGGCGTCTATTATGTAATGGTGAAGCTCCTTTCTCAATGAAAAAAGACATGCGTCCTATTCCTATGCTTTGAACCAAGTATATAAAATATTTCCGATTTCCACTTGAATGTACTATCCTGCACAGCGAGAGCTGACCCTGACAGATAAAATCAGAGCAGCTTCCCTTCTAAAAGATCCATATTCCGTGAGGCATTGTGCTGAAATCGGGCGCTCTTCAAAATAACCAAATCAAAGAAAGCGACATTTTTTAAACAAACAATTTTCTTTGTTTGGCTCAACAACTTTTATGCCCATTAAAGAACACATGTCTCTGTGGATTTCACTGAAATAGCAGTTGATTGAAAGCACCCAAAAATGTAAATGTGCAGTTTCCGAAGACACTCAAACTTTGGAAGTCACCAAACTTTGGCATCCATTTTCTTGCTGATTTTACCTCTGAAACCAGACGACCTTACCTCCTTCAATAGGATTATCTTAACTTCTATACAGGATAGATGGGTATTATTTTCATCAAAAGCAAAACAAATGAACAAGCTTTAAAGTTCTACCAATAACTCCATATTCCCAAGAACTGTTTTCACGTTATGGAAACCGTCCTTTCCACGGGAAACAAATAGTTTAAAGTAAGTTATAGCTTATCTTTGATTTCAGTGCTGTTTCCCCGTTCACCGTCAATTTTTCCAGCTTATACTTCAATTTCATTGTTCTATTTGTTTTTGCAATTCAGTGGTCGTGATAGACCAGGACATCGACTTGTACTACAACCAAAACCTGAAACACATATTTGAGAATATGCACAAGTTTGCTGATAGAGACAAGAAGAAGCAGGAGGTTGTCTTCACTGTCGTTGAGGCAAGGAATGACACCGATGTGCTTGACGAAGGTAAGCGTAAAAGAAAAATAATAGTTTTAAAAAATAAACTAAGACATTATTCACACTCATTTAAAAAAAACATTGATTACTTTTTTTCTCTTGATCAAAACATGACTTTTGGGAATTGCAAGACATCTTATGATGCATAATATCATATCCCTAACAACGTAAGCTGGTCTATGCTTGTTAGATGGATTTTTATGTGATATTTTGGGCGTGTTCGTGCACATACACGAGAGAGTGAAAGACACACAGAGAGAGAGAGAGAGAGAGAGAGAGAGAGAGAGAGAGAGAGAGGGAGAGAAGAAAGAAAAGGGGGTTGAGAGAGAGAGAGAAAAAAAAGAAAGGGGGGTTGAGACAGAAGACAAAGGGGGAGTGAGAGAGGGAAACAGAGAGAGA